AATAAATTTTTATAATATTTCTATGGTATAGATCATTTGGTAGGTTCAAATATGGTTCATATTAGAAAACCAGATTTCTTAGTTACGACATACGTGGGTGTGTCAGAGCCATAGATTGTTGGAGCTTGGAAATGCCAATAATTTAAATTTTTGTGTCATTTTAATAAAAGAGTGTAGGTGTAGCTATATTTTCAATGAAAATCGTGGAAAGAAATTTGAAGAAAATTGTTTATTGACTACTTATATTAATGTTAAAAGTGAAGTCTGGTACCGAAAGAATTTTTAATGTAATTAATTTTGATATAGTGGAGTACATACTGTAATGCGAAATAGTCTACAAGAAATGTAAGTACTTTTTCTAAAAAACTGAAATTTTCAGACTGTTGTCTTACTTTAACGATTTTATTTATTCGTTCATCTTTGTTTTATCAGCACCTAAACTTAATTTAGTATTTGAAGAAATTAGGTTTTAATACACGATATAGAAATTCCAGAGCCCCATAGTGCTACAATTTTGAGTTATCAGGGTTAAATTAAAATATAGTTAATTTGATATACTTATACAAAAAAAATAAGTTACAAATAGATTTAGCTTTTAATATGTGAGTATGTGTAGAAAGTGTTAATCTTGTTTGTATTGAAAAGAAATGTAAACGAATATAAATAATATATTTTTATAGAATTCATGTAAATGGGTTAAGCTTGGCATGGAGGATGAGCAAATTCAGCTCATGTGGATATTGTTTGTTGTTCTGTTGGCCCAGTCGGCCAATTGCCTTTGCCCAACACAGTGTGTTTGCGATGATACTTCATTGAAAGTTTCATGTAATGCAGCCAATTTAGAAGTAATTCCAATACAACTTAATCCTGCTGTTCAAATAATAGATCTTGCTGAAAACAAGATAACTGACATTCATTTCACACTCAGTATATATACAAACCTAATGGAACTTGATTTATCAAAAAACTACATTGAAAGCCTAGGTTCTTCAAATTTTGAATTACAATGCAATCTAAAAGTTTTGAATCTCGGTTATAATATTATACACAGTTTAATGAAAGATTCTTTTAAAGGATTGAAAAGTTTGGTCATCTTGGATTTGAGTTTCAATAATTTGAAAGAATTACCTGTGGCAGCTTTCAAAGAATTGCAAAATTTGATTGTTTTAAAGGTAAATAGTAATCGTTTAGAATATTTGGAAGCAGGTTTATTAAAATATACGAGACAGTTACAAAAATTATATTTAAATGATAACCAGTTATTACAAATACCAGGTAATGCTATTTCTGAAGGAATTAAGTTAAGATATTTGTCATTATCGCAAAATCTAATGGAATATATTGAAGAAGAAGCGATGCCGTTTCTTCCAGAGTTACGGGTGCTCCTGCTTAATACAAATGTAATTAATTACATGAATCCAAGTGCACTTTCAAATTTAGAATCATTGGAAGTACTAGATCTCAGTGATAACAATTTCACTGTTATTCCCACAGATTCTCTTTCAAAATTATCTAATTTAACAAAATTGTATTTAAGCGGAAATTTCGTTCAAAGTATACCAGCTGTGGCATTCCGTGGTCTGTTTCGTCTTCAGTATTTGTACTTAAACAGATTGGAAGTTTTGTCACATATTGATGTGAGAGCCTTTGTTGATAATATATGTTTGGAAAAAATCTGGTTAGACAATAATATAGCATTTCAAGTACTCCCAATAAACATTTTTCACGGTAATCCAAAAATAAAGGAGATTTCTCTAACAAATAATCAAATACCCACGCTAGATGTGTCTCATTTTCCCTTGGATAAACTTAGTTCTTTAAAGCTGGGAGGTAATCCCTTGCAGTGTAATTGTTCTTTATTTTGGCTTTGGAAGTTATTACAGGAACAAAAAACGCAAGAAATTATTAATAATACTCAAGAGAGCGATTTAATATTAGATATGAGTAATATCAGTTGTGCTGGTCCTGAATATGTCTTGGGAAAGTTATTGATTCAAGTAAAGGAATCCCAAGTTGTATGTTCATTAGGATGGGTAGCCATAGTATCGGTTTCTGCTACTGTAGTGATGTTATTTAGTATAATAATTATTTTATTGTATTTTGGCTTTATTAAGAGGCGTTTAACAACCAATGAGATGCAACCAAAAGCAGGACCATCCAGTAGTCATTATGGTAATATGTCTGTAAACATTCCTTATCAGGAAAACACGCAGAAAAGAATGTATACCCACTATCCCAGTGAATATCTTTTGCCAAAAGTTAATGATACATGGACTTTACCTCCTAATTTAATGCAAATATCAAGATAAGGCCTTATTATATTAACACCACTGAGGAGTTAAGCGCATAAAAAACATAGAGTGACTGTTAATTTCAGTTACTGCTCTTCCGAAGCTATTGTGTTAATTGAATGAATAAATCAATGAATTGGAATCGAGATTATTTATTGTCAAATATTAATTTATAATTTTTCAGTTCCNAGCGATTATCATTTTTTTTTAATTTCAAAAAGAATAAATAAAATTTAGATTTTGTTTTAGTTATCTAAAAATAAATCCTTATTACTCAAACTAAAATTCATTAATGAGCAAAGACCTCTAAACATAAAAAAATAACTACCGAATGAATACTTCTCAGTACTCAGTAGAGAAAAATATTAAATTATACACTTTATTAAAACGATTCATTTCTGAAAAATTGGTTGCCTAAATTTTTGTGAACCTTGTGTAGTTGGAGCTTAGAGTTTATAGTATCTATAGATGGTCTATAGCAGTCTATAGTGTGAAGTTGCGTATTCGTCGTGGGTATGGTTATTATGACAGTTTCATTATAATTTATTGTTTGGATGTGAGTTTAAGAAGTGTTTCATATTTAAATAAGAAACAAGATGGAAATGTGGCTCAGAACTGCCCATCAAAAAGTACCTTTAAAAGTTAAAGATAAGTGACATATAACTGAAATGAAATTTTTTTGCTACTTATGGATTCCGTGCTAGGAGGGTCGATTGCGGGTGGTTGAAATAGATGGAGGAAAACAAAAACATAAAACCGCGAGTTCGTTCGAATTCTGCAAAGGTTTTATTCTTTGAAGACTCAACGAACAGCAGCAACCGCTCAAAATGTTTTACAGAAACAAATTGTGCTTCAAAAACGTCAAATGTATTACACCCAGGTATATGTTCTCATGATGATTCATTTTATTGTTTATGTATATATATATATACACTTATTTGATAAATTTTCAATATTTGTATACAAATGATTATGTAAATAAATACAATTTGGATTTAAAAGAAGTTAGAAGATAATAATGCCAGAAATAATATGCATCAAAAAGTAAATATGTAAGTCTGATATGTGCTTTACATTACATACCTAATTAGGAGTTATTAAAATTTTCATTCCTAAATTGGCCATTTTTAACATATTTTCTTATCCAGCAGTTTATTTATTGTTGTGGGTTTTCGATAGTAAAATAAGTTTTTCTATAACTTCAATTTATGCAATACTAATTTCAGTTATTAATCATTATTTACAAAGGACATCAAATAAAATGTATATGTTGTTAATTTCAGACACCAATCCTTCAACTGTTTCGAATTTAGTCCGTATAAGAAGTTCAACATTAGGAAAATCTGCCCCATCTTTATCAGCTTCAATGGTAAATTATGAGTGATTTCTAGATAATTAAATATATTAAACTTTATCTCTTTATAGAAGGATTTAGGTGTTAATCGGCGTAATAGTCGTCCAACTCCAGTTCATAGACTGAGTTTAATAGCCAGTACATCTCCTACATTACCTCGATCTCATTCTCCTGTATGTGGTAGCCCCATTGATAGTCCAAGAACTCAAGCAAGCTTTCTCAATTTCCAATTTGCTCCAATAAGAAGGTAAACAGATATTTCTTGCTTTTAGTTAATACATATATAAAAACAGTTGTTAAAAATGCATTCAAGATGTAGAATTATAACAGGTACAAATATCTCTGGCAAAATTATCCTTAACTTTTTGTTTTCACCCTGAGTGTTTAAGTTTACTAAATTACTAAAATGTAAAAAGGGTTTCATATGATAGAATTCCAAGTGGAAAAGGGGATGGAAGAAGATGGTCAGTGGCTTCATTACCATCTTCTGGATATGGCACAACACCTGGGAGCTCAAATATGTCTGTAAGAGTCTGCATTACATGTATTTGTTTCTATATTAAAGGAGATAATATTTAATTTTTATTATTAGTCGAAATGTTCGAGCCAAGAAAGGCTTCATCAATTTCCATTGGTACCAACTTCGGATGATATGTGCATACTATCGAATCACTTCTCTAGTAATGAAAGCAATGCGTCTTTGCCTTGCCGAAGTTACGAAGAAAATAGCGGTGCTCATAGATCGCCTTTGCATCGCCCACGTTCTCGTAGTTTGAGGTTTTTTTTAATGCAGTATTTTATATTCTTAGTTGTTGTTACTACCAATTTGTAGTAGTCCAAGTCATTCTCCCATCCTTGACACTGAAATATCAATGATGAATACTCTTTATAAAGAAAGATTTCCAAAGGCAACACGTCAAATGGAAGAAAGGCTGGCGAATTTTATAGAAGAAAATAAAGTTTTTGAAATTGGGAAAGACTGTGATTCATTGCCGATAGTCCGTTTTGTGCATCACCAAGTTATTGAAATGGCAAGAGATTGTCTACATAAGTCACAAGCGAAATTAATTGCAAGTCGCTACTTTTACGAAATGTCAGAAAATTTGGAAAGACTCTTAAATGAAGTAAGACAGTTATTACAATTGTTCTTTCATTTCAAATAATACAAATCTCTTTCGCATAGACAAAGGAAAAATCGGAAGAAGCTGCATCACAGTTGACAGGAATTATTAAAAAACTTCTTTTAATAATCTCAAGGCCAGCGCGGCTTTTAGAATGTTTAGAATTTGATCCAGAAGAATTTTATCATTTCTTAGAAGCTGCAGAAGTTGAAGTTAGAAATCTCCAGGGTATAAAAGAAGACTTACCCCAGTATATTATACAGAAATTGGGGTTAAATCGTGATGTTATTACTGAATTACAACAAGAACTTCAAGACTATCAAATACCGTCCATAAATAAGACGGATGCTTCACTCTGCCTTACATCCACTCCGAGCTGTAAAAAGTGGACTAATAAACCAAACGAACAAGATTTTGAAGTTGTCAAACTTATATCTAATGGCGCTTATGGTGCAGTGTATTTGGTGAAACATAAGCAGACTAGACAGCGTTTTGCAATGAAAAAGATTAATAAAAATAACCTGATCCTTAGAAATCAGGTAGAACAGGTTTTTGCTGAGAGGGACATTCTTAGCTTTGCTGACAATCCGTTTGTTGTAAGCATGTATTGTAGTTTTGAAACGAAAAAACATTTGTGTTTAGTAATGGAGTATGTCGAAGGGGGTGATTGTGCAACTTTACTAAGAAACATTGGCCCTTTACCACCTGATATGGCCAGGTTTTATTTTGCAGAAACAATCTTAGCAGTTGAATATCTTCACAGTTATGGAATTGTTCACAGAGATCTTAAGCCTGATAAGTAATTTTTTTTCAATAATTTCAAACTATAAATTACATTACTTTTTTTTTTCTATTTTTAGTCTTTTGATCACTGCTTTAGGACATATTAAATTAACTGATTTTGGATTAAGTAAAATGGGATTGATGTCATGTAAGTTTTTTACTTATTTCAAAGGTGTATTTTATCTAAAAAATGTTTTCTTTCAGTGGCTACTAATTTATATGAAGGGTACATTGACAGCGAAACAAGGCAGTTCTCTGATAAACAAGTTTTTGGAACACCCGAGTACATTGCACCAGAAGTAATTTTACGCCAGGGGTATGGAAAACCAGTGGACTGGTGGTCAATGGGAATAATTTTGTACGAATTTTTAGTAGGATGTGTCCCATTTTTTGGTGAAACTCCTGAAGAATTATTCGCTCATACAGTCAATGGTCGGTTAAAAATTTAAAATGATTAGTATTTTTTAATTTATTATGTGTTATTTGCAGATGATATAGAATGGCCTGATTCTGAAGATTGGCCTGTTCAAGAAGAAGCAAAGAATCTCATAACTGCACTTCTTCAACATTCTCCCAGAGATCGTTTGGGTATAGGGGGTGCTCATGAAGTTAAAGAGCATTTATACTTCAAAGGCTTAGATTGGAATTCATTACTGAGACAGAAAGCGGAGTTTGTTCCTCAACTAGAAAACGATGAAGATACAAGTTATTTTGATAGTAAGCTTTATTTGTAACTAAAATATAATGTTTCATACATAAAAAAATAATTATAGCACGACTCGATCGTTACAATCATGATTTGGGTGACGATACTGATGACACTGACGATTCTCCTGTTTTTGGTTTATTTTCTTCTTGTTCCCCACAATATCGTAAAGTTCAAAGATCACAAATAAATCTAACATCCGATCACGAACTTCCAACTGATTTGGTTCGAATAACCACATTAACTGCTTCTACACCTGATATATCATCTGATACGCTACAAGATATCAATAAAATTAAACTTAAATCCACAAATATATTTTTAACGCCCGAAAAAGAACATGCAGACTTCAGTTTGGTGGAAAGAAGAAAAGTAAATAGTCATTATATATTTTTTAATTCCTAAAAAATTAATCGACTAATTTTTTAGATTTCTTTAGATCTTACAAGAGCCGTTAGCACGCCTGACTCATCTCAAACAGATAGCGATGATGTATCACCTCAAATTCAAAGGAAAAGGAAAACTACACATGCAAGAGAAATGTTACCTCGTTTTTCAATTTCCGTTGAAGATGAACATAGGTATGTAACTATGGTTTTTGTATTCATAATTTAATGTATAATTTAGTGGAATGGATACTGGAACATCATCTTCCGAAAATAATCGGGAGGTGTCTTCTATTTGCCGCAGTCAGGGTACAATAACACCATTTTCTAAACATCGATCAAGATCTGTTGTCAAGAGTGCATCTACTTCTGGGCTGTCCCTTGTAATACCAACAGGTTAGCTATAGCACTTATAACTATCTCATATTTAAAATGAACAATAATAATAGTTTCAGACGAATTTCAACCCCCTCCAGGAGTTAATTCACCAAGTGGTGGTGGTGGATCGAGCACGGCAAGTTCCAGAGACACGTCTCCTTGTCGTGAATTATCGCCTCTTGTTAATAATTTAAAACCTCCTATAATTATAAGACGAGGACCTAAAGGATTTGGATTCACTGTTCACACTATCAGAGTATATTATGGAGACACTGATTTCTATACCATGCACCACTTAGTAATGGTAAATAACTTAGCAGTATGTGAAAGTTAAAACAAGGACTGATTTTTGAGACATTTTCTTTGTAGGCTGTTGATGAAGGTAGTCCGGCATTTGAGGCAGGGTTACGACCAGCCGATTTAATAACTCATATAAATGGCGAAGCTGTCCAAGGTCTATATCATACGCAAGTATTACAATTGCTTTTGTCAGGTGTTGAACACGTGAGCTTGAGAGCAACACCATTGGAACACACATCGATACAGAGTGGAGGTAGAAAAAGGGAACCTGGACAAAGTAAACTAGCCAAACGTAGTTTGCATCGTCAGAGAAGGCAAAAAAAAGAAAATGACAAAAGGAGAAAAACGTCGCTTTTTAGAAGAATCAGTAGCAAAAGAGCCAGTGCTGAAATCCAACAGGTATTGAAATATCATTTATATTCCTCGGGTGCTTAGGCAAGTTGATTTTTTTTTCATAATGTAATATATTTAAGATGACAGCTGGTGTCCAGTCTCCTTTAACTGTATCTCCAAGTCGCAGTTTCCAATCATTTTCTCGTTTAACTGATGCGAGTTCATTGTCAGTAATAAGAACTCCTACTTCAAATCGTTCCAGTCTTTCACCATCAGATTCTTTAGCTCAGCAGTCGAGTAGTTCATCGTCTCAAACACCATCATCTGGTTCATCTAGTCCTACTTCTTCAAATTCAAGAAACAATAAGCAGCATTATCAGAGACCGTCCACTTTGCATGGACTTAAGCACAAGCTTCATTCTTCATCATGTTCTAAATCTTTGCACGTAGCCAATCCTTCTTGTTCCAACGTTCCAAATCGACGCAAATCTGTAGGACATATACCACTGTCCCCTCTTGCTCGCACCCCTTCTCCATCTCCATTACCAGTTTCTCCAACACGTTCACCTAGTCCGTTAGCGTTCCCAGTTGGCCATCAACCAGGCAGCTCCAACACTACTCAATCATACAGTCCTAGTTCAGGAGGGACTCCCGTCCCTGCAGCTCCAAATCAAACGAAAAAGGGTTTCGCAAGACATAAAAGTAGTGAACCGGGCTCTCCATTGTTACGAAGAGCTTTATCTCCAGATAGATTGCATCCAAGAAGTGCAGAAAGTAAATGTTCTCTGATTTCGCCTTTGTGTTCTTCGGGGAATTCGCCAGTGGTTAAAACTCAAAGAGCTAGTAGTGGAGCCATCTGGCGTTCGACTTCATCATCTGACCGCGAAAAAGAAGAAGAAACAACGAACATTGGCAGTGAGGGGAATACCAACACCAGTAATACAAGCTCTGATAATCGCTTATCATTGAATTTATCTGGCACAGAACCTTTGCCAAGAATTGCAGAGGAGAAGGATTCTCCCACAAACAGCGCCCACGAATCTGCGAAACAACTTCAAGAAAAAACATCTGGCGAATGCTGTAAGAAGGCTAGTAAAGCGAATGACTTAAAAATGGAAAGTCAGAGTAATAAAAATGATAATAAAAAGGAAAGCAAATTGGGAAATGACAATAAAGCCGGAAGAAATGGAAAATCTAATCATAAGTAATTTTTTTATTCGCATTGGGTGTTGGGATTTTACTGCTAGAAACACTGCTTTAACGAAGTTTTTGCTTTTATCAATAACATCTCCACGCAAATATGATATTATACCGGCTTTTCGCTTGAGAGAACAAACATTATGTAAGTATTTGAGGGCAGTTAGTTATGAGATTATAAAATTTTTAGTCATCTTATTTAAAAATTTATTTTCTTTACAAGCAAATTTGATATTAAAATTATAAGATATATAAGGTACATAAACTGCATATATCTACAATGCATGTAAAAAAAAAAGTATCGTTTCAGTATTTTTAAATTTTTTAATGCCACAGTAATCTAAATTAATTTTAGTGACGCCAATTGAACTATTTGGTTTAAATTGAAGTTTTAATTAAGTCAGTGATGTGGCGCATGTTTTAATTTTAATTGTTCGCTAATAGCATGAATAACATAAATTAACAGCAAATAAATTAGCTCATAGAATATTGTAGATATAGATTCCCCATAAATTTGTAAAACGAACATTTTCCGATTAATTATTTGATTATTTTATTAATATGCAAATGGTTGAATTTCTTTTTATTTTATAATTCGGTGTAATTAAAACGTAAATTTAAAATAATTAACAAATTCATTCAATTGAAAAAAAATTCAAATTGTCCAAATATAAATGTTTTTCTGTATGTGTAATTTAATAATGAGTAAAACGTTAGTAGCGTTAGATTAATTAAAGAAAAAAAGAATTCCAATCATTTGTAAGTTGCATAAAATCGGTTAAAACGTTGAAAATACATATTTGCAATACTAAAAAAAAATATTGACTTTCAGTGATTAATACTGTAGTAAAAAAAATGAAAGTATTGTTCAGTAAGACTTCAATAGTATTCAGTTTGTAGTGATAAATAAATAGCGTCAAAATAGGCACAATTTTTAAAATTTTATTGTGTTTTATGCCTTACGGATAAAAAATTATGTTTTACTATTTTGTTGCTTAATTATAAATTGTTGGCTCTGTTTACATAATAATGTATTCTAGGATGATTTTATTAATTATTGGTGCCCTTAAAGTCATTTAAGCTAAGATAACTTATTTATAAACTCATAAAAATCAGTTTAATGTGATCATTAGTTCCCATATATTTTTTTAAAGCGTATTTACAAAAATTATTTTTTAAATTTCATTCACTACCTACAAATTTGCACTTCATTTTTCCCCATATTAAATGCTGTCATTTTTCTTAATTAAGAGGAATGTTAGTGTTTAGTTTTTGTAATGTGATGAATGTGTGATCTGTTTAGAATATTAATGTAAAAATTAAGACTTGGTTTAGATGAGAGTTCTTTAATTGTATATAACGATACTTCTTACTTTGTGTATATACTTTTGTATACATATTATTTATATTTTTCTTCTGCAGTTGTGCATTATAATGGTTAATTGATTGATTTTTGATTTTATTTTTCAATATAATATTCCATTAATGCTCACACTTTAGTTTTTCTCTGCAAAAATTTCTGTGTTTGCGATGTAATACGACTTTACTAGGATATTAAAATCCTTATTTAATACGAAAAATAATAAAATGAGAGCTGAATATGTGTAAATGAAGTTTTTGCATAAACTGTACATTTGTTTCGTCAAAATTTGAGTAGGTATAATATAGAAATTATACTACTATTATAAAAAGTGCATCCGTAAAACCTGAAGAGTTTGAAACTCTGCGATGTTTTATTGAAATATTTTTTTAAGAATGTCTCCCAATAATTAAAAGTATTTAAATAGAGTTACTACTAATACACATATAGTACTACTACAGTATACTACAATAGTCGAAATAATTTTAGAGTTAACATTAAAACTTTTCGGAAACATTGTAAAGCATTTTTTACGCTTATTTAAAAAATGTTTCACAGGAAGGTTACCAGCAGCATAGCATAGATAACGGACAGAGTTTTATCAAAAGTCCTGTTTTCTGTTTTAGGTTAAATGAATATAAATAAAGACGCATGGCGTACCACATAGAAGTTCGTCATTTTATTTAATGTATACAGACAACTGTTATTAAGCAGCAAAATTTTTATATAGATAGACAAGATATTTATAAATGATCGATATGTTTTATTAAGGTATTCCTACAGATAACGTACCAGTTTTTAATAGGTCCCTTTAAATCAACGTAATCTACGCTCATGGTTGATGATCAAGCAAAGCAAATGCCATTATACTCAATTAAACTGTTATCGTTATCAGCAGCATCAGTGCAGTGGAATAAATTGTAAGAAACCCGTTCAAAAAGGTTTAGAATTTTAGTAAACGGATAATGTTTGTTTTTTTTATCACAACTGGTTGAGTGCTATTTAAAATACTTTAACCAGTGGTTAATACTCTTCGTTTATTTTAATACAAAAGACCGAAAAAAGTGAAATTGTAAAATGGCAGCTCTACCACGCCGAATAATAAAAGAAACTCAACGTTTACTACAAGAGCCGGTTCCTGGAATAAGTGCAGTACCAGATGAAAGTAATGCTCGTTATTTTCATGTTATTGTAACTGGTCCTGAAGATTCCCCATTCGAAGGAGGCCTATTTAAATTAGAACTTTTTCTTCCTGAAGACTATCCAATGTCTGCACCTAAAGTTAGATTTATTACAAAAATATATCATCCAAATATTGATAGATTGGGAAGAATTTGTTTAGATATATTAAAAGATAAGTGGAGTCCCGCTTTACAAATTCGTACTGTGCTCTTATCAATTCAGGCTTTACTTAGTGCCCCTAATCCAGATGATCCTTTGGCAAATGATGTTGCTGAATTGTGGAAAGTAAATGAAGTAGAAGCTATTCGCAATGCTAAAGAATGGACCCGCACCTATGCAATGGACAACTAATTTAATTTGCAGTTCTCCAAGTGTAAGATTTGTTCCATTTGTTTTATTGTGATTACTTTTTTAAATACCATCAAATACCTAAGTAAAAAGAAGTAAATGATAATATATACTACAATGCATGTAA